AGAGTAAAATTTTTTCTTAGGAAAAACACAAATCCTACTCTTAGGAATTGAGAAAAAAAATCTCATTAGGGTGTAAGTTTTTTATTATTCTGAGAATGGTAAAAGTATTCTCTAGGGCTACAGCAATAGTCAAGACTATATCTAAATGTATACAACCCTAATAGGAAATATTAGACTAGAATGTGTTAAAAACTATGAAAATTGTAAAGTACCAAATAAAAGTTACTGCTATGTAGTGCAAATTGCACAGGCTTTCAATCAGCCAGTATGTAAATCCTAGCTTTGTCTTATTAGTTGGGTGAGCAAATTCTTAACTCCTTTAGTTTCCTTTAGTTTCTATAAACAGTGAAAATTATATTCCTCATACAGATGCTATGAGTAGTAAATGCAAAGTTAACTTTTCTTTCTCTTGGGAATAATGAATCAAGCTGGACCATCATATTAAGACCAGTCTCTGCAGAAAATGTTATTTTAAGTTAGAGATTCACTATTTGATTTTTTTTTTTTAAAGATTTATTTATTTGTACAGAACTGGGGTACAGGCCAGAGATGCGAAGGGTGAGAGGCTTCACCAGAGACAGAGCGGGGAGCAGAACAGGCAGATCGACGAAGTACACTGCTGAGGGGAGCAGCGGGCGGGTCAGGAGAGGTCTGCCATGCCATGTGGATCTCCTCCGGGGCGGGTGGGGATCGAACTCATGTGGAAGTGGCTTTAGCTTTTTAGTGCAGTGCTTTAACCCGCTGCGCCACCAGGGAGGGCCCTCACTATTTGATTTTAAAAAACTGTGAATGCAGTAAGTCACGACCATGTTCAAATTTCAAGAAAAAAATTACAGAATTAAGACTTAACAATTTGGTATTTCCCATGATACTGTTTCTTTTTCCTACCAAGAAAGCCAAATGTAGTGGAATTTTTAAAACTATAGTAAGAATTTAAATATATGCAATTAATTAAGCTTCTGTGTGGACTCAGATGTTCAATGATTAATTAATGTCAAGTTTTTATAAGGTCACAAAAAGTTCTGGGTTAAGAAATCTTTTTCTTAAGTTTTACTGATATATCTTTATAAGTTAATTCTAGGACCTATTATCTCATTTTCAACTAAAAGCAGTTTGACCAGTAGGATAATTAATTTGATTAACTAGGATAACAATATAATATTTATAGTATTTTCTATAAATAATATAAATGTGACTACATATTTTGGAATTCTTTATTTGGTTGGGAAAAACGGTGGTCTCGGAAACAAAAAAGGTAGCCTTGTTTAAAAAACCTGGCTTCCATCAGTAGAAATTTTTTTTTAAAGCTGAAATTTATTACACTGAGAATATATCAAATAATTAGCAAGCAGTTTTAAAATTAGTTAATTACGGCAGATTCAAAGATCTCTTTATCATTACAAGCCAAGAGGTCTAGAGACAAACAAAAGAGACTAAAATTTACTGGGAATTTACTGTATTTGTAGGTGTTCTACCAGATGAAACATTCTTTATTTCATTAGGTCTTCACAATAAACTCTATGCTTATACTTGTTAACAGGTAACGTTCAAGCGATAAACACCTCAGTGTATGACAACAGCTGGTAACTGTCCCTCCCTCACCAGCCCTTCCAGATAGCACTTGTTACCCACAGCAGAACATACAATGTGTGCACTGAGTTATCTGTCTTTGGGAACTAGTGTAGGTATTAGCAAGTAAACTTTTAGACCTGTATGAATCTTTAAGGGGCTCCCTTGTATGGGTCTATGATAATCAGATTATCATGAATAGGCTACTAGTGCTAGTAAACAGCCTTTCTCTGAAGCAAAGACCAGCATGTTCAGGTGAGCTAAGGAAAGATTTACTTCTCAAAAGGAAGCTGGATAAAGGTGGCTATTTATGGCCACAAGCAATGGCTAGGAATTTAAACCAGGCTTAGCGGTCTAGGCATTAAACAGACTTTCATGATATTCATTAAACACTATCAAGAAGCTGTGGCTGTCATTACAGCTACCTAAAATGAAAGTTTATCTATTAGTATCAGGACTTACTGTGATTTTTCATCTGTCTCTGGTAGTGGGCCCTTCCAAAGTTCAGATTCTGAAGTACTTTCTTCCTCATCAGAGTTTCCTGTTCATTTAAAAGGGATTTTGTAAGTGTGTATTTAAAACACATTTCAAACTAACCACTGGTGTAATTAACTTTTAATTAAACTGCAATTTAACTTAACTCTTATCTTTGGCTCTTTGTAAATTTAAGTCACTCTTCCATGACAGTAAATTACTTTTAAAAATAAAATAAGCTGAGATATACCTGAGTCTCAGCAAAAATGTCAAGGGTTTAAGTATTAACTCTTATAAAGAAATTGTTTCATAATATAGTTGTCTCTGAGTTAGTTTCTCCCTTCTATTGGTCATACAAAAGACATATAAGTTAAGATTTTGTTAGAGAGCATATTTACAAGATCAAGACCATAGGATTGAAATAGGAACAGCTAGTTATATAATGAAAAAAAATCCATCAGTTATCTTTTAAGCAATTGCTAATTACATTAGTTAGGAAAAGCCCATTTTATTGAAGAATCGGTCATCTCATACATTGTTAGAAAGAAAAATTCTGTAAACCTTTTTCATGAGGAAAACCTGGCAGTATAAATCAGTATCAAATTTACATACTCTGACCAGCAATGCTACTTTTAGGGACTTGATTGTTTGTTTAGAATAAATAAACACCCCAGATATATGTATAAAGATGTTCACTGTGTAACAACAATAGGAAAACAACAAATCCCCACCAATTAAGAATTAAGAATCTGTTAAATAAATACTACACAATTGTTTAAAAACTGTGGCTTTATCTATGTATTACTATGAAAAAATGTCTGTGTTACAGCAAATTTTTTAATGTTTTAGAATATATGACTAGTATATCAATTTATGTTTAAAACACTAAATACATATTTACATATGGATATATCTATACACAGCAATTACATATTAATATAGTAATTGTTACTACATGTACTAATACTATAGCTATCTATAGCATGATGTTTATGTGTATGTAGGACACATTAATTACAATGTTTGTGAAGCCCAACCATCCAGTGATTATGTTACCTCTGAGCTTTTTATTTTGTACTTTAATAATCATTTTCAAGTTTTTTATATTTTAAACAATGATCAACATAATGATTTTAAACAGTGATCAGTTTTCACTTCGTATCCATAAAAACAATTTTCAAAATAACAAAACGAATCAATGGAAAATAATGAAATTAAAAGAAAATCTATTATAAGGCAATGAAATTGTATTCCACAAAATAATAACATTAGTAAATAATACCTCTCCAATAATGACCATTAGCCTAAAAAAGAAGTCACACAAATTTGGCCTGGCAATACAGAACGTCCCTTAGTTAAACACAACACAAAAATAAAACAGCACTGATTTGCCACTGTGGTTCTACACTTTTACCTGCTGGACTTTGATCCTTGACTCAACATGCATGTCTGAGCTTTGATCCTAACTGAATCTATTCTGGCACTAATTCTCACAAAAATGGCACACATAAAAGGGATATTAATATTTCCAGTAAATAAATACAAAATGCAGTCTTATGAGTGAGATTCCCGTTCAATGCTTGGTAGTATTAGAAACGCCTGTGTCACAAATTAAACATGTAATTTCTTTTACTCTTATTTTTAGGAAAGTTCACTAACATGAGATTTAAAAAGTGAAAAAAAACTAAACTAGGTCTAAAAAAGTTATCACTAAGGTGTTACCCTATTTATGATGTCAGAGAGCAAAACTGAAATGGTCTTTAAAAGTGACAACTAATTATAAAACACCATACAACCACCTATTCTCTTCCATTTCTAAAGCAATTCTACAAGTTAGCTTTTCTATACCCGTTTTCTGATATATAAAACAAACAAATATATTTAGAATAACAAAATCCTCTTTGAAAAAGCACACGTCAAAAAATGGACTACATACATTTAAGGTTCCTACAGCCCTATAAATCTGTATCTTTCCTCCTTCAGGGTGATACACCTAGATATTATTCTTCTAGTAATGGCTCCAACTTCCAGAGGTAGGCAGCACCAGAAGTAATAACTGGAGTGCAGAAGGGATGTTTTCTTGCATTAGTGTCAAATCTATGCTGCAATTATTTGCAAGTAGGGATAAGAATTTAAGTGACTGACTCTGTTGAGAGGAGATCTTGGAGGTCTTTAACTCAACACTCTTATCCAATAAATAAATCTCTGATTGAAATACCATAAATAGCAAGTGGATACAATCTATGCTTTAAGACCTCACTAATCCCTGAAGCAATCCATTTCTCCAATCCTTCCTTCACAGTTTTAATTGACATACTTTTCCTTAAATTAAGGCAAAAATCTGTTCTCAGTTCATTTTTATCCATAGATTCTAGTTCTGCCAACCAGTCACTAAAAATAAATCTCATATATAGTAGCAGTTTTGCCAATACCTATGGTTTCGAAGCCTCCTTACCCTTTCCTTCTCTTCATTTTTCTCCAAATTAAACATCTGCAATTCCTCTAAGTTTCCCCTATGATGCAATTTCAAGTTATTGCAACACTCAGGTTGTTCTATTCATTAACTTTTCCAAGTTTTCAATAGAATGTGATGCAAACTGTATATACCATGTTCCCTATATGCTGAATAATGAAAGCAAATCTAACCTCTTAGTTTTGCTGAATATACTTGATACCTACTAAAGAAGCAGCAAGTCTATGATTAACATAACAAAGAGATAGGTCAACTTGCAGATTTCTGATCTAGTCACTTCTAGAAAATAAACACACAGTATTAGTCTAGTACCTTTTTCTGTGACATAAAAATACCTACATGTTATCAAGGACTTACTTTGTGTCTGACACATTCTTTACAATATGTTATCTTAAGTCTAAGACTAAATATTCATCTTACAAAGAGAACTAAGACAGATCAAATTGCTTAATATGGATTTGTGTAAAATAACTGCCAAAACTGGAGTGTAAAGAGTATTTATATTTAATTCACTGAGGAAGTTATTGATATAGGTAAAATAGTTATAAACCTGTGTTTAATTCCAGCTCTGTCATTAACTATTTGACCTTAGGCAATTTACAAAAGTTTTCTGCATCTCAGTTTTCTTATCTGCAGAATTGGCTATTATACCCCTCCTATTAGGATAAAAAGAAGCAGTAACACAATTAAACCACTTCCTATTGTAGACAAGAAAGTACACAATCAACAAATCTGAGTCAAAGATCTATTCCTTCATAGAAACATTTTCTTCTTCATGTATTTGGTTTTAACAATCAGCATGTTAAATGAGGATGAAAGGGTGATAATATTATTCAAAAAGAAATGAAAGAAAAAAGCAAAATGTGCCGTATAAAATTGCCGAGATCACCCAGGAGATCACTGACCCTGTGAGAGAATATTCTGGGTTAGGCAAACTTTTGGGAATGATGTGGGGGAGAGGTGTGCCCAAAGGAGGATAATAAAATTTGTAGCAAATAAATCAGTAAAATATAATTTGGTTTGATCCAATCTAATGAAAAATACAGGACTTATTAAAAAGTTACCCAGTAACAGGTTGCTAACATTTTGCTTTCCATATACAAAACACACAATTTGGGCTTGATCACAAATGACAGAGACAACTCAAGTCTATAAAAACATGAGCAACTTAGCAAAATACATGCAATAGTTCCTAAATTTTAATGCACTTCTCTTGCTTGATTCCAACCTCATTCCATTTTTCTTCCTTCACATTCTATAATGTAAAACTAAAACATGTACCCACTGTGTTTACTGAAAAACATTTTTATACTTTTAAACTTAAATTTTTAAGTACTCTAAACTGTGGAAGAAACCATACAGTTCTGGTCTTTTTTCTATCATTTTTCTAAAAACAAAACATAATATTTGAGAGCAAGTCACAAATAATTTGAATCTACAGATTTCAATTAAAAAAATACCTGATACTTACTATTTATAGAATTTTCTAGTTTCTTTGAGGATGAATGTCCTGAAAAGAAAGGATAATTGTTTTGTTAAGAATAATCTTGTGATGCAACAGTTGTAGCTGTAACCAGAACTTTTCCAGTAGTTGATTTTGCTTAAAGTCATATAGACAAACAATTCATTGTCTTCTAATCTTTTATGGTCCTTAGATTTCTATCTCTAACTAAAATTTTAGATTCTTCTAAGCACATTCTATTATGATCTAGATACCTAGAATGAATCTTAACAGTAATTAACCCCTGGGAAAAAAAATCTCATATTGTTAAAAAAAAACCTCATAGATTAGTTGCAATACAACCAACATTTCACCTATAGAGATGTTCAACATCTGAAAAAAGCTTATAAATATCATTCTTCACAAACATCATATATATGTGAAAAATCTATTCCTCATATCTGAAAATTATGTCACAAAATAAAATATTTTCAGCTATACAGGGTTACCAGTGAGGAAAATGAAAAGTACTAAAGACCTAGTGATGACATTTTTTAAAAAAAACCACTGCACACAGACTATTGTAATAAGACCTCTGGGGAAATATTTTTGAGGCTGCAAATCAAAAAGGACAGCTAATATATGGAGCATAACCACTGCTGCAGCCCCCCTGGATAGATGGTTTCATCAGCCAAAGCTGGCCCCTGAAAAGCCCCTTTAAAGCCAGGCAAAGAGAATAGAAGAACTACAGGGTAAAGAACTGAACTGCAGCAACTGCTTTATAATATTGATTCTTCACTTCTCATTTCCAAGTCATGAGAGTAAACAGACAGAATAACCAAGCTTCTGATGGAAGCTTGGAAATGTATTCTTCTTTGTTATTTTCTTTGCTATATGAAGAACATGATACCTGATTCCAAATGTCTATAGGTAAAAGAGGTTAGGTTTTTCTGGAGGCCTAAGAACATAGCTGGAGCCAAAAGTAAGAAGGTGTAGGTTTGGAATAAATATTAAAATAAATCTGCTAGCAATCACAACTATGTAAAATTTAAAAAATTAGTTGGGAATGTTTCCTTGTGGGTGTTGACGCCGAAACAGAGTACATTCATAATATAGAGCAGTGCTTCCCAAACTTTATTGTTGGGAATGATTAAGAAACAAAAAGGCATTCTATTTCAATAAACAATAGAATTAATATTTTTCTTCTTATCATCTACCAATTTTACAGCATCTAAAAATTGGTGATATTATATGCTTTAGGGCAAAAATGAAAATATAAGAATGTTTATCTTCACAGCTGGAGCAAGGGAGCCCTCTTCTGTCCAAGTA